TGTTTGTGGTTGTAATGTGACAAAATATGGAAAAGTTCAAGGGGTATGAATACTTTTGCAAACCACTGTATAATCCTCCATTCTAAAAGTCAGGTTTGGCAAGAGAGAAAACAAATGGATCTCTGCTGCACTTTACTTTGTTTTTACTTCAAAAACTTAAAGTTCACAAAACACGTACCAAAAACACGCTTCGCTAACTGTAACGTTTTGTTTCTTCTTCTGCAGCTCAGAGTAATCTCTTCTGCAGCTCCTGTGTTCTCTKAGCTCACGAGCGCCCTCTACCGTTCCCTCCTGAGCATGAAAACCAGGTGCATATTAAAAAAATTCAGAAACATTTTACTGGCGACATATAGAGACATATTCTGCTCTCACTGCATAACCTGCAGCAGGGATTGCGCAATCCAAGTGGAGACAGAGCGTGGGTGAAAGGATTGCGCAATCTGGAGGCGGAGCTTGATTTTGCCTCCTAGTCCGGCTCGCCCTTATGTGAACAGGAAATTTGTCAATTCAGCAATTTTGCTGAACTGAGGACTTTGTTTTGATTTAAATTCATTTTTATAACTGCATTTATGCCTAACCCTGATGTGAAGAAATTTAGTGTTAGGTAGGTTAGTACGGATTTTAGAAGCACAACACTATATTCTTAAGTTCTCCTTTTTGAAATATTGACAGTGTTTAATCTATTGTCATGTCTTGATTGAAATAGGTCTAGTACATGTCCGAAACATTTTTTCAACACATAAATAAACGCTTGAAATACATTAGGTGAGAATTGTGTCTGAATGCCTGTGACTCAGCCGTTGGCCAGCAGGGGGCGAGCAAAGGCATTGAAGAAGCTGCATAAAAACGTAAACTTCTGGTTTTATGGGCAGTGTGGGTTTCCTGTCTGCAGACAGCAGCAATAAACCTCCACTCAGATTCCAGATTCTGGTGTTGTATGGTTTTCATTCCTCCTRCAAATCRTTTTATTTAACATCTGTGTTTATCATCTCGACTTCAGTTGATTGAATWCAAATTTTCTTACACTGACATTTTCCCTAAACTAACCATTACTTGTCTAATCCTAACCATAACCTAAATTTAATTCACACGTTACCTCTTGTTACACCGCGCCTAGTAGCAACCAGGTTGTAACAAGCTCTGCGCCATTTAAAAAGGAGCCACTGGGAACTATTTGATAGAAAAAGAAACTGGAGTGAAGTCTAACTTTGTTTTTACCTCTTACCTGTACAAAAACACGGGTTCTTACCTTCCTCAACTTACCTAAAAACATGAGAAAAATATTTATAAATAAATGACAACTCATCCCTACAAAGCCCTCACAAAACTACTTTTTAAGGAACAACAACTCTAAGGGCTGGCGTGGCATGTAAATTAGTTGTGGCAGGTTGGATGGCGCAAAGGAGGGGGAAGCTCTCGACATCATCGWCTCTCAGCTCATCTTTATGCAGTTCCCTCATCAGCAGGCAGCCAATCCTCGTTCAGCTCCTGGTCTCCATCTTCCAATCACAGATGGCACCTGGACACTCATGTGCATTCTCAATTAGCCTACCACTTAACATTGAAACATTGAAACTTTCTAGAACAACAAAGTGAATGTCTTCATACTAAACAATTCCTTATTTTTTAACAGTCCAGTCTTTATCATTCTCTTAAATATGCATACTGATATGGCACTTTTAACATTGGCTTCTAAATTATTCCACAGTCTCACTCTTTGAATTGAGGTGCATCGTTCTTTCAAACATGTTCTAAATTTAGGTTTCATGAACATTTCTGTTCCCTTAAGATTGTAACAGCTTTCTCTCTTTGTAAAATGTATCTGAACATTTAAAGGTAATGCATTTCGGTGTGCTTTATATATAAC